ATCAAAGTCCTACCATGCATCTTTTCTGACCATAACTAAAAATCAACCACAAGAAAAAATCTGGAAAGAACACAAAATACATGGAGGTTAAATATGCTACTAAACAATGAATGAGCCAACCAAGAAATCAACAACATATATGGAGACAAATGAAAATGAAAACACAATGGCCCAAAACCTTTGGGATGCCACAAAAGCTGTTCTAAGAGGGAAGTTTATGGCAACACAGGCCTACCTCAAAAAGAAAAAAATCTCACATCAACAATCTAACCTTATACCTAAAGGAGCAAGAAAGAGAACAGACAAAATCCAAAACCAGCAGAAGGAAGGAAATAATAAAGATTAGAGCAGAAATAAAACAGAGACTAAAAAAAATAGAACAGATCAATGAAACCAGGAGCTGGTTCCTCGAAAAGATCGACAAAATTGATAAACCTTTAGCCAAACCTATCAAAAAGAAAGCAGGGGAGGGACTCAAAATCAGAAATGAAAGAAGAAAAATAATAAGTGACACCAAAGAAATTATACAAAGGATGGTAAAGAGAATATTAAGAAACATGATACACCAGCAAACTGAACAACCTAGAAGAAACGGATAAATTTCTAGACACATAACCTACCAAAACTAATCACCAAGAAATAAAATTTGAACAGACTGATTACCAGCAATGGAAATGGGTTGGTAATTAAAAAAAAAAACACAAAAAACAAAAACTCCCAGCAAACAAAAGTCCAGGATCAGATGGCTTCACAGGAGAATTCTACCAAACATTTAAAGACGAGTGATACCTATTGTTCTCAAACTATTCCAAAAAATAGAGGAAGGAAAGCCTCCAAATCCGTTCTGAGGCCAGCATTACCCTGATACCAAAACGAGTCAAAGACATGACCAAGAAAAGAGAACTACATGCCAATATCTCTGATGAACATAGATAGAAAAACCCTCAACAAAGTACTAGCAAACCAAACCCAACAATATATTTAAAAAATTATTCACCATGATGAGGTAGGATTTACTCCTGAGGTGCAAGGGGGGTGGTTCAACAGTCACAAATCAATGTGACCCATTACATCAATAAGAGAAAACAACCATACGATCGTTTCAATAGATGCAGAAAAAGCATTGGACAAAGTACAACATCTATTTATGATAAAAATCCTCTACAAAGTAGGTTTAGAGAGAACATACCTCATCCTAATAAAGGCCATATATGAAAAACCCACAGCTAACATCATGCTTAATGATGAAAAACTGAGAGCTTTTCCCCTATGGTCAGTAATAAGGAAAGTATGTCCACTCTCATCACTTTTATTCCACATAGTACTAGAAGTCCTAGCCACTGCGAGCAGACCAGAAATAAAAGGCACCCAAGTTGGTAAGGAAAAAGGAAAACTCCTATATGCAGATGACATGATACTATATATAGAAAACCCTAAAAATTCCACCAAAACACTACTAGAACTGATAAATTAATTCAGTAAGGTCACAGGATACAAAATTATACAAAAATCTGTTGCATTTCTATACACTAACGACGAAGCAGCAGAAAGAGAAATTAAGAAAACCCTTTCATTTACAACTGCACCAAATAATAAAATATGTAGGAATAAACTTATTCAAAGAGGAGAAAGACCTATACTCTGAAAACTATAAATCACTGACGAAAGAAACTGAAGATAACACAAACCAATGCAAAGACATTCCACGCTCATTGATTGGAAGAAGAAATATTATTAAAATGTCTATACTACCCAAAGCAACCTACAGATTTAATATAATCCCTACCAAAATACCAACTGAATTTTTCACAGAGCTAGAACAAACAATCCTAAAATTTGTATGGAACCATGAAAGACCCCAAATAGCCAAAGCAATCTTGAAAATGAAAAACAAAGCTGTGGGTATCACAACTCCAGATTTCATGTTACATTACAAAGCTGTAGTGATCAAAACAGTATGGTACTAGCACAAAGATAGACACATAGATCAATAAAACAGAATAGAAAGCTCAGATATAAATCCACACTTATGTGGTCAATGTTTAACAAAGGAGGCAAGAATATACAATGGGGAAAATAGTTTCTTCAACAAATGGTGCTGGGAAAACTGGACCGCCACATGCAAAAGAATGAACCTGGACCACTTTCTTACACCATCCACAAAAATAAACTCAAAATGGATTAAGGACCTAAATGTGAAACCTGAAACCATAAAAGTCCTAGAAGAGCACACAGGCAGTAACATCTCTGACATCAACTTCTTTCTAGATAGAGCCCCTGAGGCAAGGAAAACAAGCAAAAATAAACTATTGGGATTTCATAAAAATAAAAAGCTTGTGCAAAACAAACAGTAAACAAAACTAAAACCTATGGAATGGGAGAAGATATTTGCAAATGACATTTACAATAAAGAGTTAGCATCCAAAATATATGAAGAACTTACCCAACTCAACACCAAAAAAATACTCCCATCAAAAATGGGCAGAAGACATGAACAAACATTTCTCCAAAGAAAACAGGTAGACGGTCAACATGACTGATCCTCAGGGAAATACAAATCAAAACCACAATGAGGTATCACCTCACACCTGTCAGAATGGCTAGATGTAAAAAGACAAGAAATAAGTGTTGGTGAGGATGGGGGGGGGGCGGGGAGGAACCCTCATGCACTGATGGTGGGAATGCTAATTGGTGCAGCCACTGTGGAAAACAGTATGGAGGTTCCTCAAAAAATTAAAAATAGAATTACCATATGATCCAGTAATCACACTACGAGGCATTTACCCAAAGAAAGTGAAAACACTAGTTTGAAAGGATATAAGCACCTTATGTTTTACTACAGCATAATTTACAATAGCCAAGATATGGAAGCAACCCAAGTGTCCATCGATAGATGAAGGGATAAAGATGTGGCGTATATGTACAATGGAATATTACTCAGCCATAAAAAAGGGATGAGATCTCGCCATCTGCAACAACATGGATGGACCTGGAGGGTTTCATGCTAAGTGAAATATGAGAAACGCAAATACTGTATGATTTTGCTTATATGTGGAATATAGAGAACAAGTAGCACAGACAGACCCATAAATACAGAGGACAAACTCACGGTGGCCAGAGGGAAGGGGGAGGTGGCACGGGTGAAGGCGAGTGGGAGGTACAGGCTTCCAGTTATGGAATGAATAACTCATGGGGCAAGACACAGCACAGGGGATAAAGTCAATGGGATTATAACAACGTTGTGTGGTGACCGATGGTAGCTACACTTGCCGTGAGCACACCATAAGTACACACTTGGTGCATCACTATGTTGTGCACCTGAAACTAATGTAATATGTCAACTATACTTCAAAAAAAAAAAAAAACCAAAACAAAACAACCCAGCAGACTATAGTAGTAACAGATAAAACCACTCTGGCTGGGTGGACTAAAGTACTCCCCCAGGCTTTCATACAGTTGAGTGATCAACCAGTAGGGCCCGTGCCCCATATGCCAGACTGGGGCCTCTTGCCAAGGCACCCAATCCCGTCGAGGTATGGAAGTCATGGGAAACAGCCACTGTCTCAACTCTCACCATGGAGCCCTGTGCTGTGCTGCTGAGAACACCAAGCCCCACCACGCCTGGGAAAGGGATGGTCTACCAGAACTTGCCTGGGGTGTCCCATCTGGATGGGTGAGTTACTTCGAGGGAACTCCTCGGTCTCCACTGGGATCCTGTTGTCCTGCTACAAGCCCGACCTGGTGAAACGCACTAGACGCGGAATGGTAAATGTGCCACTGGGAGAGGGAAGAAGGTGGGAGTCCTGGTTGGGCACATCCCCCAGTCCATCTCTTCACGCCTGGCAGTGCTGCCTCCCCCAGCCAACATGTACGGTATGCACAACCAGGTCAATATCCTAAAGCTGCAAACTTCCCTCTCCTCAAGGCCAGGCGGACATTGTTTTCCAACAGTACGATCGTTTGGCCGCCATCTTGGTTCCCTCCACTGGGCTGGAGGACAGTATAGCACACATAGAAGCCCTTACTAAATTCATCTAGCAAGCTTAAATGACAGCCAAAGAAGCCTGTCCTCAACACTGAAAGGTCTCTGATGAGAACAGCTATCCTCCAAAACAGAATGGCCTTGGACATTACTGTCCTACAAGGAGGCCCCTGTGCCATTATCCAAACACAATGTTGTGTGTTCGGCTAACGTGTGATCCTTGCTGAATCTAGTTGACCCATGAGCTGGGTGGACCCAGGTGATCAGAGGCTCCTCACTCCCTCCCCTGTCCTTGGAACGTGGGCTCTGCTCGCCTTTCCCACTCCCCGAGGCGGCTCTAAGGACACGACCTTGACAGAGTGATGTGGCGCTGAGAACGCTGCATGTACACACGACTGAACGCAGTTCAGGGAGCCTCACAAACTTTTAAGATGTGGTGCGTGGGTGCGGAGATCCACTCACCTTGCTGCCGCCAAGACAAGACTGGTATGCAAGCTCCCTTGCTTAGGAAACCTTTCTACCTGGGGTGGCTGCCTCTTTCTTTGGTCTCTCCCTGCCCTCTGCGCGCAGGGACCCATTTCAGGTTACACCCGGGAAGCTCCGGAGGGGGTTACCAACCAACAGCGTGACAGACAGATGTTCGAGTCAGACAGACTGACGGCCCGAGGGGTAGACAGAGAAGACGGGACGGTGAGAGAAGTGGCCGGGGAGCTGGGGGGGGGGGAGGGGGGCTGCATGAGGAAGGGGTAGCTTGCTTTCGATGCCCACCCATCACTGGGCTGCGAGCAGCACTGGCCTCCCTGCCTCTGCTGTGTTTACAGCTGAGACCCCCCTGCTCAGCACTGCTGACTTCTGTGTAACACCGGCCTCACCCTGGGAGTCGGAGGCCGTTCCCCAAGCCAGCCAGGGGCTGGGCCACGAGGGCCTGAGCGCCCACGGGTGCCGGTGAACCTGGCCCCGGGGCCCACCTGGCTTGATCCCAGGCCCCCAGCCACTGCCCCGGGATCCCCACACTGACCTGCACCTGGCTCTGGGCGACAGCGACCCTCTTGCGGAACTCCTGGAGCCGGGACCGCTCGCCGGCGTCCTGGGGCTCCCTGCCCTCGAGCTCCCGCAGCTGCCTCTGGCTTTCGCTCAGCTCTGCCCGCACCTGCTCCGCCTCCTGCTCCAGCTCCCGGATGTGCTGGCTATGCTGCCGGTTCAGGGCCTGGGCCGCCTTGCCTGGAAGAAAGAGCGGGGGCCTCATCAGCACAGGCAGAGCCTCTCCCCCAAGGGGACCATCGCTTGGCTCCCCTGGGAGGGGTTCCAGACCTCTGTCAGCCACGGTCACCTGTGGGGGTTTTGCTAAGCCTCTGCACCACTGGTACCGTGAGTTATTTACTATATTTTCCTTTAAGCCACTTACTTTTTCAATTAAAATTAGCCTCATCCATAGCAATGACCCACAGAAATTAGGGGTTAAACTGGCTTTATTTTTTTAAATGTTTGTTTTTGTGAGAGAGAGAGAGAGAGAGAGAGAGAGAGAGAGAGAAAGAGAGAATGCACGTGCATGTACGCAGGGGAGGGGCAGAGAGAGGGGGAGACAGAGAATCCCAAGCAGGCTCCACGCTGCCAGCACAGAGCCTGACTCGGGACTCAAACTCACGAGACGTGAGATCGCAATCTGAGCCGAAGTCAAGAGTCGGAAGCTTCATCGACTGAGCCTCCCAGACCACCCCTAAATTGGCTTTATTTTCACCTGATACCTACTAACAAATACACAGGTTGGGCCTGCATGGAATTAAGCCTCCAGAACTGACTTCCATTGGCGGGAAATCTGGAGAGCGGAGGGACGAGTTAAATAACACCACAAGGAAGCCAATGGGCAAGTCCTGAACACGAGGGGTTTGGGACAGTCTACAGGACTGTGAGGAGACAGGAGAGGGACGCTTTAGAGGCCTCACGAGCACGGTGTGGGACACGTGTGGAGCTGGGTGCCAGCAAATCAGCCGTCCACGGACTCTGCCAAAGACCTGAGGGAACAGGCTTGTGCTCTGGGCGTGGGGGGGGACGTAGAGCTTCGTTAGACGTGCTCATGGCACGTCGGTTAAAGTGTCCAAAAAGAGGCAAACTGAACGGTGTGGGGGTGAGATGACAAGATGCCTGGGATTTGCTTCAAAACACCTCAGCGAAGACAAAAGAGACAAAGGAAAGGGATGTATGGGAGAAGCTCGTGATGCTAAATCCGGGTGATGGGCTCACGGGGACCTGCTGTGCCAGCCTTCCTCCTGTTGTGTTTGAAATTCTTCATGATGCATTCTGTAAATGTTTATTTATTTTTGAGAGACAGACAGACGGACACAGAATCCGAAGCAGGCTCCAGGCTCTGAGCTGTCAGCACAGAGCCCGATGCGGGGCTCGAACCCACGAACTGTGAGATCGTGACCTGAGCCGAAGTCGGACGCCCAACCGACTGAGCCACCCAGGCGGCCCTTCATAATGCATTTTGTAATAAATACGCAACCCTTCAAATAAAAAGGCTCAGCTGCTTCTTTACACGTGTCACCAGTGGCGGACGTAGCATGATTTGGGGCCACTGTTTGCACCCTAAGAGTAGGGGATCCTGTGCCCAGCAAGGTGCCTAACACGGCAGGCAACTGACAAATACAACTACCGCTATCACGAATAGGTATTGCTTTCTGAGAACCGGTCTTAGCCCTTCAGCTGAATGAAGTCCCCTCAACGGCCCAAAAAGCAGGTACAATTACTAGCCCCACTTTAGAGAGAAGAAAACAGAGCCACAGAGGGGCTATTCTACTTGCTCAAGGTCACACGGCCCCAAGAGGCTGAGTCGGCTACCACACTAAGCCACCTGGTCCCCGCTCCTAACCACCCTCAGGCGGGAGGCCCGCCCGAAGGCCCACCGCCTCACCTGTGCGGACCAGCTCGCCGATGAGCTCCTCCTTCATGCGGATGTTGATGGCCAGCTCCCGGATCTTCTGTTGGGCTTGGGCCAGCCGCCGCTCAGAGGCCGTGGCAGCTGGGGTCCGGCGGGGCTGCGCCAGGGCCTTGCTCCCACCGGCTACTGTAACAAGCCCGCCGTCAAGGCCACCACCCCAACGATCAGTGGGGGAGGCGGGAGAGGGGAGAGGCACGCCCCGGGCAGGGGCGGCGAGGCATGGCGTGTGGACCGTCTGGAACAGCCAGTCCAGGATCACGGAAGGGAGGGTCAGAGCCCCCTCTGCACCAGGCCCAGCTCACCTCTGGGCCCCGGGACGGCTGCACCCGGTTCTTCGGGGTGAAGCTCTGGGCCCTTCCCGGCACAGGGACTTCCTGGGCGGGCCCCCACCCTCTGGCTCCACTTGTTGATCCCGTCCCTGGAAGACAGAAGCAGGACTCAGAGGAAGGAAGAGAGGCCACTGCGGTCTTCTGTCCTCTCAGGGTCAACGGAGCCTCGGGGCGTCGGTCTGGCAGAACTGAGGCCAGGGGGCTGGGCTGTTGGGGGCACCGAAGGCCGCCGTGAAGGCCGAGAACCAGGAGGCCCGGGGCCCACCCTGTGGCATACTCACCCCACCGGTTCCAAGCCCACAGTCCCCGTCTGCTCTCCCCACCGGACGGGGCAACGGAGGTGAGGGCTCCCTGAGACCACAGTGGGGTCCTCCTCCAGCCCAGCCTGGCTCCCGAGGTGCTTTGGGTCAGGTGGGCAGCTGGTCCCACTCACCTGCGCAGGTGCGGGGGCCGCAGGGGCGGCTGCCCCTCCTCCTGCCCCTCCTCCTCCGAGGCAGCTGAAGAGCCGCTCCCCTGGCTGTCTGCCTCTGCCAGCAGCTGGGCCCCAGGCTCTCTGCCATTTGTCACCTGCTAGGGGAGTGCCAGGGTTTCAGGACAGAAAGCGCCCAGGGCACCGACCATCAGCCATTTTCCATCACTGATCTTTGCTCGTGCCTATGCCCGGCCCTGCCCGCCCTCCTCACAGCCCTGCCAATCCCAAGTGAGAGTAGGAGCTTCCTCCCAACCCCCCAGCGCCCCCTCCCCTGTGGCACCCATAGCACCTGGGACTCCACGGGTGACAGCTTGCCCTATCTTTGTATACAGCTCACCAGCAATGCCCTGCTAGAGTGGTGGATGTATAACAGACTCCGGTCAAACCCACACCCTCCCTCCCCGCACTGCCTTGGCCTTTTACAGCTGAGATGACCCAGAACTTTCAGGAGGATGCAGGAGAGCCTTTGTCCAAAAGGTCCCAAGTGACTAGAAGGCCGGGCTCAGGGAGATTAGGGCTCATGGAAAAGTATACTTGCAAAGACAGAAGGGGTGGCCTCAGAGGTGATAAGCCCCCCATCTCTGGAGGTGTGCAAGCTTTCCATCCAGCGCCCGAAGCCCAACTCCCTCTGTAACGTCCTCACTTCAAAAATCTCCAGCCAGCCCAGGGATGCCCAGTGGTACCAGACCCTTCTGAGCGGCCCTACAGAGTCCCCCAAATTTTGGCCCTTTCTCTAGGAGCACTGGAAAGGGGTATCTCACAGCTGGTCCCGGGAAAGGCCGGATACATTCGGCAGCACCGCCCTTCCCCTGCCGGAGCCTGTCCAATGCAAGAGACCCAGGCTCGCCACCTCCTCACCTCTCCCCAGTTCTCAGGGCCAACTTCATCTCCAGGAAGGCAGACGGGGGGCACCATGCCCAGCATGTGGCCGTGGGCACCGCCGAGGGGGGCTGTGTGAGGCCGGGGCGCAAAGGAGCCGGCAGACAGGCCCTGTAGGAGCCCTGGGGCCCCCCCAGCCAGGCCGCACCAGCTCTAGCCGCAGCCGAAGCTCCGCCATTTCCTGCTGCTGCTCCCGAAGCCGGTCGCTCTGGAAGACATGTTCCGGGTGCTGATGGGGGGTGTGGACGGGGAGGGTGCCGGGATGCTGGCGGGCAGAAGTGCGGGAAACTGAAGAAGGGGCCACCCCACCCTCTCTCTGCTAAAACTGAGGAGGGCCAGATACCTCTGACCACTTGTTGCCCAAACACACACACGCACACACGCACACGCACGCCAGTTGTTCAGGGTCAAGCTCTCACCCCACCCTGCTAGCTCCAGGTCAGTCCTCCACGTTCATGCCAGTCACTGCCGCCAGAGGGCGCCGGGAGCAATGCTGACCCAGTTGCCTTGGGACGACCGGGACCCGACCGACTGCCCCTCCAGTCCCACCTCTCATCCAGGGTCATGGCCATCAGGCACGACCACCCGCACCATTCTCTTCCTCACCTCCACGCTGTTGCTCAGTTGTGGCCCCTCCATCTCTTCCCACCCTGCCAGAAGCCTGCCCTGGCTAACTCCCCCTTGTCCCCGGAAGCTCAGCTCGATTTCACCTTGAGGAAGCCTGCCCCCACCTGCAGTTTGTACTGCTCCATGGCGTCCTCCAGGGCCGCCAGAAAGTCTCGGTTCTCCTCCTCCAGCCGGGCCACCTGGCTCTGCAGGGCGAGCAACTGCAGTGCCCCGTCTTCCTATGGGGCAAGGAGAGAGGCTTCAGGGGCAGGAGCCGGCGGACAAGCCTGCCTGTCTCTGGGACACCCCGGCCCTCTCTCTGCCCTGCCAGGGGTTCCCCTAGTCCAGCTTGCTACTCTGCTGCAAGCCCTGCCTGCAATGGGGCTCTGCCTCCAGAGCCCACCCAGCCTGTGGTCCCCTCTGCAAGCTATTTGGGCCATCTCTTGCATTATGAGTCATACTTTTATTAACAATAATAACGGCATCACTATTATTGGGAACCCACTGAGGCTCCACTAGCGCGCTGCGCTGGGCACTTGGTACACCTTCGGCCCTTACAACAAGCCTAGGAGGTAGATACCCACGTTATCCCTGTTTCACAGACAGAGACCCTGAGACTCGGGAGGGTAAAGGACGCGGTCAAGGTCATCAGAATCGCCTCTGAATCCAGAATGCGCTGCGCTGATGGACAAGGGGCAGGGGCGCCGCCGGCCGTATGAAGACGGCTCCCTTCCCCGCTCCCACCCTCCCCGGGGCCACACCTGGCCCTTGGCCACCTTCGGCCCGCCGGGCCCCTGCGTGGCCTGCTCCTCGGCGGAGGCGCTCTCGATGCCGCTGTCGGGCCCGGAGGCGGAGCTCAGGGCGCTGCGCTCCCCCTCGAC